CTTCAGTATGGGTGGTTTCATACCTAATATTCAGCCTTCTACAAATGTAAATTCGAATGACCAAAACAGTCAGCTCAGCTCATCGGTTATGGAAAACCAAGCTCGGTAAATTCCCGCCCATCAGCTGATGTTGACCCAAAAAATTCAGTTTCTATTGGAAAGCCATTCAAACCAATGACTTTAGATGAATTAGAAAGACATCTGTTGAATGATAATCCTAAAAATACCCAAATCGAAACAAAACCTGTTCAAAATGCTGGCAATAATTTGAATAAATTTTTTCCTGGTGTAGATCTAACAAATAATAACCAAGAAAGGAGAGTTTTACCCGAACCATTCCAGCCACTCGTTAGTTCAACTATAGTACCTCCATCAAATGAAACGATCAACCCTAAACCATTGTTCAGCAGTCTATTTATGCCTGGCAATAGACCTCTTATTCAACAATTTGTACCTACGGTCATACCTCGTCCCCCATTCGTGCCATTCTTACCTGGACCTATTCCCAATCCATCGTTCATTCAACATCATCAAATGCAACACTTACAGCAGCTTCATCAACGATTCGCTCATCAACGCCGACAGTTTTATCCTCGACCAGGTACACCTTACCAGCATCACGATAGAAGTTCCAACGACGATGAGTACGCTGGCTTAATGACTCAAAGCAATAAAGAATGGCTGATAAAAATTCAAAATAGTGCATTAAATTTCACAAACCCTTATAAAGAAGATTTTTATTTCGTATCTTTTAAAACAAAACAATTGGCAACTGCTGCTAAAGCTAAAAAAGGAGACAACGGATCAAAAATTCCTGCTTTAATTATTCCGGAAAGAAAAAATGACGATAGTACAAAAGTCGAATATGTGCTGGTACAATTTGAAGGATGTCTGGGAAAAATTCGAGTCATTGATGTAAAATGTCCTCGAAAGTTGTTAGATGTTGATCCAAAGCACCCAACCGAAATTGTTGATCCAAGCCAAGACAGACCAATGACACCAATCGGACGAGCAGAATTGAATGCGTTCCGTCGCCTATTATTGGATATTGAACAGCTCTATGCACTTATGCTGGAAATAGATGAAGAGGATAAAAAGATGGGTGCCCTTCCAGAATTTCAACGAGTGCCTCATGCTAACAGGCGATCCGATCTTTGCAATCAACTTTTCAGGGGCGTTTATGATGAACAAAGTGAAAACATTAATCAGAAGATAGCCAGTGTAAGGAAAGGCATCGCTTTAATTGTAAGATCACTTCAAGTTCTTTCCGATTCAAAACAAAAAGCTGCTATTGTTAAAAGCCTTTTAGATAGCAATAACAGTCACTATGTGACTAATTATCGAGATAAAGGCCTCCATCATCTAGATTTCAAAGAAATTCTTACAGATGTCATTGCCTCACTGAAAGAGTCTCAACTTCCGGAGATAGACTTACTTTCTCGCAAACTGAACAGTACATCATTTTTAAATTAATTGATTTCATAGCTTTCAATCACACCTGTTGCGCGAAAGTTATCTCTA